AAAAAAAAAAATTGAACAAAAATCAACACCAATTCAAGCCAACAAATACATTAATTTGAGATACCAGGATAAAATTTCAGTTTGCCAGGGACCAGTTGGTTTGAACGTTTTGGATACACGAAGACAGAGAGTGAGTGGCCACCGAAGGTTGTTAATTTGGACTTGTACTGAGTTTTTTTGTTTGACATTGGCTTTAATATTGTCTTTTTCTTTTTTCCTTTTTTTTCAGTTGGTGAAAAAAGATGACTAGAGTTTCAGAACCACGGGTATCTGAACCGAACGGTAGTAGTGTTAGTGAGTCTACTAAGACGTCTACTATACAGAAAGAAGGATTAGTTGAGGATAAGGGATCGAATGATATAAAGAAGGGTAAAACGTCATATCATGATTCATTTCTTGCATCGGTTGAAAGAAATCAAATACGTATTTCAAGATCGCTTTTAATATGTCTTTATTTGTTTCATGTTTTATATCCTTCAGTTCTTCCGTATACTTCGAAATTCATCCATTTACAATATAGATCAGGAACCAATTCAAATGGAGAAGCATTATATGATATTGGTAAAGATGATATTTATTTCATACTTAATTGTGTGATAACTTTAACTTTCTTGAGATCTTTTCTTATGCAATGGTGTTTTGGACCATTTGCAAGATATTATTGTCATATTCATTCTAAAAAGGCTAAAGTTAGATTTGCTGAACAATCATGGTCATTGGTTTATTATATGTTTTCTTTTGCTTTTGGAGTTTATTTATATATCAGATCTCCTTATTGGTTGGATATAGATCATATTTATTTAAATTGGCCTCATTATCAAATCACGTCCTCTTTCAAGAAATATTATCTTATATCAATTGGTTTTTGGATTCAACAAGTTTTCGTTTTAAATATTGAAGAAAAAAGAAAAGATCATTATCAAATGTTCAGTCATCATATAATTACTTGTGCTTTAATCATAGGTTCTTATTATTATTATTATACTAGAATTGGTCATCTTATTTTAATGATTATGGATTCAGTTGATATCTTCTTATCGGGTGCTAAAATGTTAAAATATGCTGGATTTTCAAAAGCTTGTGATTTTATGTTTATTTTATTTTTATTATCCTGGATTATCTTAAGACACGGCTTATACAATTATTTATTTTATCATGCTTGGTCAAAAGCAACTACTTTAATGTCAAATGCAAAATGTGTGCCCGGTGTTATTCAAAAAAGATGCTGGACTCCTAATGTGATTAATTTCTTTCTTGGTTTATTAGGTGGTTTACAAATTATTACTATTGTTTGGATGTACCTTATCTTTAAAGTTGCTTATAAAGTTGTCACCGGTACTGGGGCTGAAGATGTTAGAAGTGATGATGAAGATACTGATGTTGAAGATGAGAGTGTAACTGAAAAGGTTAAATAATTAACCTTGTTATTCTCTCGTCGTGTATTTTTAGTTTTTTGTAATATAAAGAAAGTTAGAAGTAATACTTCAATTCCTTTTTTCGAATTCACCTTTCTTAATCTCCAAATTTGTTCACGATAATTATTCGAACATATATACTAAAAGCCAAAAAAGACCAAAAAAAAAAAAATTGAATTTCCATTTTGATTTCAAATAAAAAAAAAAGTATACTTAAAAACATATATCTCTTACAATACGTATGTCATTTGATTTGTTTGTATTAAAATAGTTGTACTCTTCATAGAACACGATGTAGTTTACGCGGGGTCTAATACTAAACTAACGTATAAGCAAAGAACCATAACGACAAACCCCCAAATTACTAAGAATAATGAAGCATTTTTCAATGTCTTGTGTTTGTTGGTTAAAACATCAACATCAGATCCAACTAATGTATAGCCAAATAAACCTGGTAATATAAATGAAATGGCAGTTGATCCAGTAGCACCCACGATTGCTAAAACTAATGCAAATGATTTAACAGTGACTGCTAAATAATAACCAACTAATAATAAAGAAACAGAAATTGTATAAAAAACTTTATTCGGAAATGGAACAACAAACGAAGGTTTATTTGAATCATTTTGGGCTTCTAATAAATTAGAAGTTTCATTTGGACCATTTGTTGGAGTATCATTAGAGTTAAATTTCAATTTAAACCAATAGTAAATATTATTAACTGATATTCTAGCAGGATGGATCATTAATGGGAATGAAAAAATCACCATGAATACAATGGCAAACCTGCCTAAAGTTGTAGCCCAAGTAGATGGATAACTTAAAACAATATTACCACCAACTTTATTACCAAAAGTGAAATAACCGGTTAATCCAACAAGTATGAACAACCCAGTAGATAATGAGATTGCAAAAGTTATCAATTTGGTTAAATTTGATAAGGATTTGTCTCTTGCCTCATTAATAATCGAAAACATATTTTGATGTCCGGTAAATGCAAATACAATGATGGAAAATGTACTGAAAACTCCACTCACTGTTGGAGGACCCGCAGTCAAATCTCCTTTAGAATCATTGGGAAAATCGCCAAAGAGTCCTTCAAAAACGACTAATAAAGTCAAATAAGCAATTGCTCCTAAACCAAGAATTGAGGTATATTTCAAGGAATCCAAATTTTTCAATAAAGACAATGGCACACAAATAACTGAGCTTGCCAATACCCAAAACTTGGAATAATTCGATTCATCAACAAAGGAAATATCCTCAACTATCGTGGGCATCAAATCTCCAACAAGTACTAAATACGAAATGGCACATCCGAAACATTGAATTGCAATAGCTAGATCAAATACAACCGATAAACTTGGATAAGTAATTGAACATAAGTTGAAGAAGGTGGCATGGCCCCTTGGCACAAACTTACTCACGTACGCTTGTAAAAACAACCCAAACCCTGATGTTAAAGCAGCAAATATTATAATTATCGATCCAAAAATATATCCATCAGTGGAAAAACTCAATGGAATTGACATAAGTCCTGCCCCAATAATGGTCTTCAATAAGCTCACAGACGACGACGTCAACGATGCTCCCTCTTCTAATGATGGCATCGTTATTCCTACCTCTTATATTCAAGTGTCTTGTTTCCCGTAGAATGATTCCTGAATATCTTTCCTTTCCAAAAATCCACAGTTCTAAAATTGCAAATTCAAACCCAAAACCCGTACCGAACTCAAACCTCCGTACCTTTTCCAACATCCGTACCTTTTCCAACATCCGTACCTTTTTTCATGGGTTTGGATCAGAAATTACGCGTTTTTGTTTACTTTTGTTATTTTCCTCAGGTTTTGTCTTTGGTTAAAACGAGATGATATTGAAAGGTACTTCAGGATCTGGTATTTGAGGTTAAACTGCACCAATTAACATATATTAGAACATAACGGAACCATCAATTGCACGATCGAGCCATTCCTCACCTAGTGCAACATTCCAATCAATCCTAGAAGCCTAGTTGAGTCGAAGCGCCCATACATATTCCAGTCATACTTTGAATTAAACGATAACCTGTCGAAAAACAAGTTGAACTCAAAAATAAGGATTGAGCTGTTCCCATCAGAGAAGATACTTTGATACTTCCAGTCCAGAAGCAGTCGTCATGAATATTGCATCATCGCATCCAACTAGGGAGTCCTCGATTTCTGTTGCGGTTAGAGTTAGGCCCTTCACTAATTCAGAAGAATCAAAATTGATTAAGCAGGAAGAAGATCCATTTTTCGTTAGTGATGGCTCGCTATCTTCTCATAACAAGTCATCTGAACGTTCTGGTTCAAAACTGACCTCAGTCTTCAATCCTAGGGGTATTAGAAAGATTGTAAACGTGGTTGATGATAAAATGTTAATATTTGATCCACCCGAGACTAATCCCTTGAGTACCATGCAGAATAATGCATTCCCGAATAATGCTCAGAGACCAAGGATAAGGGAATATCGTTTTGTATTTGATAAATTGTTTGATGTTCTGACTAGCCAACAGGAAGTTTACAATAATACAACTAGACCTTTATTGGATAGTATACTCGACGGTTATAATGCCACTGTTTTTGCATATGGAGCTACTGGGTGTGGGAAGACCCATACGATTCTGGGCTCTCCGCAAGATCCTGGGGTAATTTTTTTAACAATGAAAGAATTGTTTGAAAAAATTGAAGAATTGTCCGACGAAAAACTTTTTGATGTTAGTTTATCATTTCTCGAAATTTATAATGAAACAATTCGTGATTTACTAAATCCAGAAACAAGCTTTAAAAAATTAATCTTAAGAGAAGATGCTAAAAAGAAGATTTCAGTTGCAAACCTATCTTCTCACAAACCAAAAAGCGTAGAGGAAGTTATGGATTTAATTCTATTGGGGAATCAAAATAGAACTAGTTCCCCAACAGAAGCTAATGCCACTTCTTCTAGATCTCATGCGGTTTTACAAATTAATGTAGTTCAAAAAAATAGAACTGCAGATATCAATGAAGAACACACGTTTGCAACATTATCAATTATTGATTTGGCTGGTAGTGAAAGAGCCGCAGCTACAAAAAATAGAGGTGCTAGACTTAATGAGGGAGCTAATATCAATAAATCATTACTTGCATTAGGGAATTGTATTAATGCCTTGTGCGATCCCAGAAGAAGAAATCATATTCCTTATAGAGATTCAAAGTTGACCAGATTACTCAAATTCTCATTAGGGGGAAATTGTAAAACCGTTATGATTGTTTGCATCTCCCCATCTTCCCAGCATTATGATGAGACATTAAACACTTTGAAGTATGCTGATAGAGCCAAAGAAATTAAGACAAAGTTGATCAGAAATCAACATAACCTAGATCGTCACGTTGGGTCATATTTGAAAATGATTACAGAGCAAAAACAGGAAATTAATGAATTAAGAACTCGTGAAAACAAAGTTATTGAATCAACTATTAATAAACAAAATCAAATTCTTGGAAAATGCAATCAGTCTATTCTCGATTCAATTGATTCAATCAAAAAATCTTTGGATAATCATCAACAAGATAAATGGAAAAAATACTTCTTATTAGCTAAAAGAAAATTATTACTATCTCAACAGACTAACATTTCTCTTTTGTCAGAGAACTTACAAAGAATTGGTCATTTTGCATTTTTAAAAGATTTAATTAATTTCCCCAGTTTAGTTTTTCAGGTTAATCAATTGACGACTAAAATTAATCAACAAATTGTTAATTTAGAAAAACAATATGGTACTCCTTCAGATATTGATAATATTTTCACTCATTCGATTATTTATACTTTGAAAAAATTAAAAGAATCAGAAGGTTGGACTCAGTCTCATACTTTTATATTTGAAAATTTAGTCGATGCTTTGAAAGATACATTTGAAAAAGATATAATGATAAATTCATCAATCTTATTTGATTACTTATTATCTGAAATAAAACAATATGTTTCCTTACCTAAAGCATTCCTGGATTTATTAATCATTTCAACTAATCCTGACCAGGACTATGCTCTTGAAAACATTGTTTCTGTGGTTGATCATCTAATTTTAACTTTAGAGTCAATGAATAATAGCGATTTTGATGTTGCAATTGAAAAATGCACTTCTACATTTATCCAGCAGCAATTTAATGAAGTTGACCAGCATAATAATGAAGACCCTTACCAAGGCTTGGAGACGAACAATTTAAACAATCAAATGAATAGTCTGTCACCAAATCAAAATTCTTTGGGAGATACTCAGATTCCAAGACCTTCTTTAGCTAAGTCTAAAAGAGGTTCCACCTCACCTTTAAAATCTTCTCCTCCTAGAAATTTGAAGAAAGCCACCATGAAAAAGCTTAGTCCACCAAAAATTTCCCCAGTGAATAAACTCGGAAAGAAAGTACGTTGGGATGTCTCTGATAATAATATCGATACAAGCATGATTGAAAGTGAACATGACATTAGTATGGAGGAGCCACCACCTCTACAACAAGAGAAACCCAATAATACATATCCCAGTAGTAATGATGATAATTCTCCTATTAATAATGATGTCCTTGATAGGTCAGATATCATGGATGATTTGGATTTTAAGTTTGACCCTAGTCTTGATTCGCCATCGGTCAATAGCTTATTAAAACATAAAGATTCAACCGATTTTTCACGTAATAAATTAAAATATTCTAATCCAAGATTACAATCCTTAACTAACAGGAAACTTCCAACAAGCGAAGAATCTCTCGATAATGAAGATTCCTTATTGAAGTTACCTTTACTTAACAAGGGGGCAAGTACTAAAATAATATCGGAGAAAGAAAATGAACACTTTGGTTTTTCGCCAGGTCTTTTACCATCCCCAACAAATAATTATAAGTCATCAGTGTTAAGTGAACCTTCTAGAGTTATCAACAATGATTTTCGTGAGTATAACCATGGTACTAGAAATATTGGCAGTAATGGCTCTGAAGAAGTTGAATGATTAACGATACCTCATTTAATTTTCACCTATTCCCTTTTTTATTCTTTCTAAAATTTTCTTTCTTTTTACATATCCATCTGTTTGTTTTTTTTTGCATTTCACTTTCTAGTTTATATTTTAATTGCATTTTGTTGTACCCTTTTAAAGTTCATTATTGTACACTACAAGTAAACCCTGTGGATGGTTGCAATTTTAGATTTCCTCACTAAACTTTTTGCAATCTCGCTGATAAACTACAGTTAGGTTATTCCAGCAAACTCGAAAAAATGAAAAGTTTATTCAAATACTTAGTAATATAGAAATGAAAGGTTAAAATTCATCAAGACATTAGGCTTTTTGATTGCAGGCTTACCATCTACCTCCACTTGAACCACCATAGTTATCATTTCTTCCACCTCCGTAGTTGTCGTTTCTTCCTCCACCGTAGTTATCATTTCTGCCACCACCATAACCACCTCCGTAATTATCATTTCTTCCACCTCCGTAGTTGTCGTTTCTTCCTCCGCCGTAGTTATCATTTCTTCCTCCGCCGTAGTTATCATTTCTTCCTCCGCCGTAGTCGTTTCTTCCACCACCGTAGTCATTTCTTCCACCGCCGTAGTCATTTCTGCCACCGCCGTAGCTATCATTTCCACCGTGTTTGTTATCACTGTGGCCAAAGAACCCACCACCAGATTGGTGTTCTTGTTTCTTATCGTCATGAGAAGATCCAAACAAACCATGGGATTCGTGCTTCTTCTTGTCCTTCTTCTTCTTCTTGTCACCATGACCAAACCATCCGCCACCGGATTCTTCATCAGAACTGCTACTTGAGCTATCCTTTTCACCAGCTTTATGACCAAGAACACCACCAATTACAGAACTGGCAATTTTACCCTTGGTACCACCACCAAAAGCATTAGAAGCAACATAACCGGCACCAGCACCAGCAACAGTACTCATCATACCTCTTTCACCACCTTCTCCAGAACTTTCATTATGAGAAGATTGTTTTGGTTGATAGGAACGGTTATCTCCAGAATTGTAAAAATCGTTAGCAGACATTATTAGTTAATTGACCAACTCAATTGAATAAGTCCAACCTTCAAAGGATTTCCCAAACCTTTTATGCTGTTCTAATCAGCAAATATAAGTTGGGGGCAGTCTCTGGATTCTGCATACTGGAGAACTCCACCAAATCACAGCTGAAATTTTCCAATTTGTCCCTTACCCAAAATCCACCACGATAAACTATGGTAAATAAACGCCCAGACAAGTAGTAAGTATGTGACAATCTATTTCAGGTTGTGTAGTGGCTATAACTGAAGTTGATTGTTAAACTTGATGAAATCTCGAGATTGTGACCGTTTCGAGTTCGATGACGGAGCCACTGTGACATTTTTTCCTTTGTGAGAGATGAGTTTTTCACTGGCTTGCCAAACGGCCATGATATGCCATTGAGCAGTGACTGCTTATGCTGTAGTGACGGTTCAATGGCTAGTTGTCCTCATGGAATTCTGCTACAACGTCCATAAAACGTGATCTTTGGCAACCGATGCCGCAGTTTCATAATCCTTCCATAACACAAAATTGAAAGGTACCAAATGACTAAAAGGCATTGATTCAAAGAATGCTCTTGCTGTTTATGTAGTGATCCTGTTGTACTGATGTACTGATGTGTTGTTATGATTTACTGTTAAAATGATTTACTGTGTAATAGTGTAGTGTAATAGTGTAGTGTATTAGATGCGTTTACATATTCATTGAGATTGCAAAAATCGGAAAATATACAGCAAAGATAACAAATGACCTACTTTTTGTATCAAAATGACATATGATATACTATAAACTAATTAAATAAAAGCAAACAATTGACTAAGGAGAAATGAACGAATATATGTATGTATATATTTTTATTTTTGGTGGTGCCCAACATTACATGATTATGCAATCTTTATCTTGAGCAGCCTTTTCATTACCATTTAATAAGTTACCAGATTTTTTCTTTTTCAAATTTTTCTGTAATTTTGCAGCTAATTCCTTATTAGCTAATCTATTTAAACATTTTTCATCACCATTTTCTGCACCTTTTTGATACCAAGTTTGAGCATCATTAATATTTTTAATACAACCAATTCCCTTTTCATAAAAATTGGCTAATGCAAATTGAGCTTTAGCTAAACCACACATGGCAGCTCTTTTAGCCCATTCAAAAGCTTCCAGCTCATCTTTTGGTAAGAAAGGTTCATTACCAACAAGATACCAAGCACACATTGATAACATTGATTCTGGATCACCACCTAAAGCAGCTTGGGTATAATAATGAATTGATAAATTAGAATCTTGAGGAACAACCTCACCAACTTCATAACATTTACCTAAGATGGCAGCAGATTCAATATGACCTAAAGCAGCAGCTTGAGAATATAATTCTAAAGCATATTTTTGATCAGTGATAATAATATCTTGAAACCCATTATAATAAATTTTACCCAATTCATAAGGAGCAGCACCAATTAATTCATTAGCAACGTTTGAAGCACGAGTTAACCATTTAATACCCATTTTTTTAGTATTAACATTATTTGGCATCCCCATTCTAGAATAAAATGAATAAACACCTAATTTATACATTGAAGCAGGGTGATTTTTTGATGCAGCCATTTTTAAATACTCAATTGCTTTGCGTGCATCTCTACCAGTACCTAAACCTTCTTCATAACAATAAGAAGTTCTATAAGCACTTTCAATATGACCATGTTTAGCAGCAGCTTGGAATAAAGCGAAAGCTTCTTTATTATCAACTTTACCTAAAGCACCAGAACTGCAAGCATCACCTAATAAGTATTGAGCTTCAGTATATCCTTTATCTGATAATTTTCTTAAATAATGAACAGCTTCTTTTAATAAAGCTCTCTTCAATTTAGAATCATCCATTTCACTGGCATTTTCTAAATCCAAAGAAGAAGAATTTGATTTTGATTTTGAATGAGATTTTTTCATATTATTATTATTAACTCCTAAATTTTCATTTTTTCTGGGTGATTCATTTGGAGTATTTGAACCAGGAGTGGATGAATTTTCATTATCTAAAATCAAAGCAGTTTGTAACATATACTGAGCATATTGAAATAAAACTGTTGGATCATTTGATTTTTTAGCATTTTTCCTATACATGTCAATAGTTTTAATTCTTGGTAAAAGATGAGAAGAATTATCCCCAAGATATTGTTGAATGACATTTTGACTAAAATCAATCATACTAGCATTATCGGATCTATCATAAATAAAAGAAGAAGTTGAAGAAACTGATCTATTATGGCCTAATCTACCAGGAGGAGCCATTGGAGGAGCACCAAAAATTGAATTAGTATTTGAACCATTACTTGGATTTTCTTGAAGATTTGACATTAAATTACTTTCCGATTTTGAATATTCTTGCTTATTTGAAGTTTCAAATATCGAGTTACTATTATTATTATTATTATTATTATTTAAATTGAAATTAGTAACTGATGAGGTAGCAGATAAAGGATGAGCACCAGGAGGAGAAACCAACCCATTCCCATTGGATGCTTCTTTAGGGAAAGCCGGTGGAGGAGTTTGAGAATCATATAAAGGATAAGGAGTTGAAGAAGAAGTTGGAGACTGTTGAGGTTTTATATGATTATTATTAAGAACATTTTGAATAGTTGGATTATAATGAGCAGATGTTGGATAAGGGCTGGCATTATTTGGATAAGGATTAGTATAATTTTCATTAATCAATGAATCATCTTCTATAGTTTTATTATTAAGTTGATTAGCTTGATCTAATGGACTATGGAAACTATAAGGAGAATTAGTTTCCGGAGTTTCATTTGAAATCGGAGCAGCTGGTGCATCAACAAAGTTATCTACCGGATAAGGGGCTGAAGCGGTTTCACCGCCAGCCTTTTGACGATACGGATGGGAAGTCATACTTTACTCAACTAATAATCAAAAAATTTATCACTTTCAAAACAAATTTCTTTAAATAATGATGAGATCGAGTAATGTGCGCGTGTCTTCTTGCACTCGAGCTAATAAGATCAAGACTTTAACCAACAAGAAGGAAGGAGTTCGACAAGAAAGGTTAACCAAAAAATAAAAAGATCAACCAAAAGGAAATGAACGAAAAACAACGAACCAAAAAAAAAATAAAAATAAAAAAAAAAAAGGCAAAAAGGGCAAAAAACAAGTAAATTAAATGTAATTTCTCACCGAATAGCGTTGAACAAACCACCTTTTGGCGTACTAAACCAGGACACTGGTACGGTTCTAAGTAAGTAAAGTAGGTATGACTTAAGTCGGGCACTCGGGGCAGACAGGATGGAGCAGGACCAAGTGGATCAATGTAGAATGAATGCGGTAGACGGAGCCTAAAATTCGTAATTGAAATCGTATAACAAATCACAAATAACACAATCTGATAGGCGTTACAACGGACCGAGAAGAGCTGTTTCAGGAGTGGGATCGGAAGTGGAGGAAGAGAAGAAGAGGAAGAGAAGAGGAAGAACAAGAACAAGAGGAAGAACAAAAAGAAAAGGAAGGAGAAAAGAGAAAGATTTCAATCGCCATAAATATTCGATTCCAAAAAAAGAAAGGTCTTCCTGACAGCTCGAGGATCCATTAACATGATAGATCGTTGTGAGTCGTTACAAATGGTGGCAGTTGTCCAAAGCAGAAGCCATTGAAAACACGAGGGTTTTGATCATTTTTCGTTTTTTAATAGATTATTGTTTATTTACATTTACAGCATTAAGCGTTGCAAAATATAATTAGGTTGAGATGATGGTACGCACGTAATAAAACTAAGTAATGGACAATCCATATAATAATATGTTGATACAATAATAATCCATACAATAATCAATGTAAATACAATATGAGAAAGTAGCTCTGCTAATTTGATTACAATAGGGACGCGAATAATGATATATGGTATTCACGTGAGTAGTCATGTGACCTACAAAAATTTTAGAATTTAAATTCATAATACATTCTTCTATAAGACCCAGACCCTAAAAGTGATTAACCTCTTCTTATGACACTGAAGTAAGCTGCTACAAAAGCAGCCAACACCACACCAACCAACGTTATTTTCTGTAAACCGTTGCTTTGCTGTTCGGTATCGTCATTTTGTTCTACCAATAAACGGGCACGATCTTCAGGATCTAAGGATTCGATATTTTCTTGTAAATTGATTGGTTTTTCATCTTCCTGCTGTAACTTCTTGCTAGCGTTGAGAGCATCCTGTTGTTTTTCCAACTCTTTTTGTTTGGCGATATCTTTTGCATTCTGTTCAATTAATTCCGGGAAGTTTTTACGAAACCTTTGATTTTCGTTCATATTCCAATTTTTACTTTCCCGGGCCAACCTTCTCTTAACGTTATCACTCGTGGTGATCGACCCGGTAGTGCTTTCATCCCCGGTCATAAAACTTAATAATCCGGTTAGAATGGTAGAAACACTCCATGCTGGATTCCAAGTATCAGGATGATAGTCACTCATACTCAAACATAATCTAGTGTTACAAGCAAATCTTCCGTTGGGGGTCACCACGGATATTGAAGGGGGCTTGAAAGGATATTCTGATGGGAACCTTAAGATTCCGTGATATTGTCCTCCTTCAAATGGAGTACTGGTGGGGCCGGTGATTATATAATGCCATTCTAATATGTTTTCTTCGTTTGGTTTGGCGGTTATAAACGGGGGCGGGTTCGCTTGTATTGCTCTATACTCCTTCGTTAATCTCTTCTGCGACTGTCTAGATGCCATAATATTATATATATACCTATATAGAAAAGGATGAAGTACTGAAATTTGTTTCTTATCGTTTATTCGAAGCGCTTCCTTTTGTTGAGTTTTGAACCAGGTGCACGACGACAGTGTACTCCACCTCCGTACACCTCTTGGTCTAAGTTTTCTGGCCAATTGCCAATATCAAACTGGTTGATACCATGTAGACGTCGTCCCGGTGTTTGATTTTACCGGCATTGAGCTGTTGGACGGTTTCGTCGCTGAAGTGGCTTTCAATAAAGACTTTTTCTGTCCAAGTCCAGAGTCGGTTTTCTCTAGCACTTGATACGTTGGACAACCCAGCAGATTTGAAAGTCTGGTTAATATTATCAATTTTCAATCCACCCATATGAGCCACTGAACTGTCTTCTTTACTGAGTTTTTCCACGTCTTCATTGTAGAAATCGTAGACAAAGAGCCAGCCTCCGGGTTTTAAGAATTCTGCCAATTTGTTGGTGATTTCCTCGTAGATCAAATGGTGGTAGGAAAGAGTACAAATGATGACATCGGCAACACCTTTAAATTTCTCCAATTCTTCTTGTTTTGATTCATCGAGTATATCGTACACGTAGGAGGAGATTCTAACACCTTCCGAAGAGTTTTTTTCGGCACGATGGTTAAAGAAATCGAGAATCGTTGGATTGATATCGATTCCGATAATCTCACTAGGGGTTTGTTTTGAATCCAAGTATGGTACTAATTTTTCTGTTGTTAACCCGGTTCCACAGGCAAAGTCAAGCAAGGTGATACCTGGCTTGAAGACCGAGTTCGGGAAGTCTTGGTGGAAAGTAGGAAGTGGAGGTAAGGTATTTTCAACTGTTAATCCAGAGGCGTATTTATCGCTATCTCCAATAATGCTGTTACTTTCTTCAAGTGTCTTTCTTGGGGCACTTACGTCGAATTGCAAAAGCGATTTTGCCATCACCAAGCTCAATGCTTGGATCGACTCTTTCTCATCGTATTTGCTAACAAAGTCTTCGCTGAAATGTTTTAAGTTTCGTGATGCCAACAGCTGGTAGTCAGTCATTTGTAAAGAAGGAGTAGTATGCGAATTTTCAATTCCATAAATATAATCTATATATATACATACTCTACTCTACCTACTATAACTACTATAACTACTATACATACTTAGCTACCTATTATCCATATACATGATATAAATACACTATGTAAATATATTATGTGAATACCTTATGCAAATATATTATGTAAATACAGTATACTATAATACGGTGTAGTTGTATAGAGTAGATCAAGGTAGATCTGATCGTATCAATACCAACGGCTGTCGATTCCTCCATATCAAACACTGGCCAGCCGTTAGGAAAGCCATAGAAAATGCATGCAGTTACAACTCCTATGCATTTAGAGTCTAAGACGGAACCTGCTCCAGGAAAGTCACGACCCAAGAGGTAACCGACACACTGGTCATAGGAAGCCGACACACGGGATCGCAAGCACAAAACCTGGAACATTGGCGGTGGTGGAACATCCAGACCTTTGATTTCTGGTGGTGGTGTTGTCGGTTTCCTCATGGACCTTTCTGTCGGATTCCTTTTTCGTCTGATAAGCAAGATTTGTATTGTTATCGCACAACAGCAAAAGAAAGATGCAAAATCTCTTATTGTTGGTGCTGAAACTTTGACTCAGAGACATGGAAATTGAAAGAATTAGGTAGGTACCGTGAGTTTATTATTTGGTAGGGGTTTATTGTTATTTTATCCGATAATAATTCTGTCAATTTCCTTATATCAAGTTGATGATAATCAATCAAATTGTTATCGATTGCATCTATACTATAAATATGGACTTAAATCTTGAGTGATTTGGATGGATGAATTGATATAATCAGTATCATACAATAATCTATTCAATAATCTATTCAATAATCTATTCAATAATGGCCTCTCCAGCTCTTCTCCAAACTATTCAAGATGGTTACCCAAACAAAAGTGTTCCGGAACAAATGTACGATTCAAACTTGAAATCGTCTTATGAAGCCCTTTTGGCTTCCAAAGGTATCAGTGCCGGTATGCCAGCTAGTGTGAAGTTTGATCCTTACAAACATTTGAAATATTACGCTAATGAAGAAGAAAAAACCAAATACGATGCTACTAATAGAATTAGTATGAACGATTTGAACATTGCTGATCCAAACCAAATCAGTACTGTTGGTGTTAGTGACCCATTCCCTCTTTTCACCGATGAAGCCATTGAAATCATGAGACAAGAATTTTTACAAAAAGAACTCTTTTTGAAATATGCTAAATACTGTTTTAACTCTACTTCCGGTTTGGATGCTAATCTTAGAGGTTATGTTAAAAATGACGATGTGGTTGAAACTCCCTTCATTCATGATGCCTGGACTCATCCTAAAACCATGGAATTGATCAGCAGAATGGCTGGTGTTGAGTTAGAAATCGTCATGGATCAAGAAATTGCCCACGTTAACATCTCAATGAAAAGTGAAGAACAAGCTGCTGAAGAAAGAATTCAACAAGCTAGAACTAGAGCTTTTTCCGGTTCCAGTGACGGGGAAGATATTCCTGCTGTTGTTGGATGGCATAAAGATTCTTACCCCTTTGTTTGTGTTTTAATGGTTTCTGATACTTCTATGATGATTGGTGGTGAAACCTGTTTAAGAAAGGGTAAGAAGAACGGGGATGCAACTGCTGAAGTTATCCCAGTCTCTGGTCCAAGCCGTGGTAATGCTTGTGTTTTACAAGGTGGTTGCATTGAACATATTGCTCCAACTCCTTCAGGGGCTAGTGAAAGAATCACCATGGTTACTTCTTTCAGAGCTAAAGATCCAACTCTCGCCGACAACTCTTGTTTGAACACCGTTAAACCAGAAATCAATTTTGGTTCCAGATACCATAACTTCTACCCTGATTGGATCAAATATAGATCAGAGTTAGTCAAACAAAGATTAGATCTCCTCAATGATGAATTATCGGTTGAAAGAAAAAATGGTAAATTCGATAAAGAATCTGCCATGGATACTTTGAAAGATATAAGTGCTTATTTAGCTAGAACTTTTGAAGAAATGGAAATTAATGATCAAGAATGGGATAAAATTATTAATAATAATTAGAGTCTCCCTATAATACCCACTGGTGGGTCCCTTTTACCTTCGTCATTTTTCCGTTCTTCCAGTCATTTTGTTTGTCTTTAGTCATTCTCTTCTTTATATGTGTGTCTTATGCCTCTTGTTTTGTGCTTTTAATAATATTTGTTATTCTGATTGGGTGCTCACTTGTAGTATCTCACCTTTTGGGTGCAATTTTGCAAAATATCTTCAAAACTCGTTCACCAATTCAAAGTTCGTATATTTCACAACGGTTGTAAAGAACCCATCTAACCGATCAGTGGGTCTATACACGAATATTCCTCCTGTACAACAGTCTGCTACACGATTTCACACAATACAAAGAATCAATTGATGCAAAAAAAAAAAAAACATAATTTTTTTTTCAGGGCTTGCAAAGTACAATAATTTACAGAATAATAACTAAATGCTTTAGATAATAACTCCATTAAAGTAACTATTTCTAGCAACGATGAGTCGAGAGAACTGTTTTCGGCAGTAGGCATAGAGTAGGGGAGGGGAAAAATGTAGTATAATGAATTTTAAATTAAATTTTAAGAACAAATATGAAAAGAATACTATATAAAAGTGAATAAAGAATATGAAGTGAACTTGAAAAACCAATATTTGACATATGTAAAATAATAGAATATTAAAAAAGTGCAAATTGAA